TCTACAAAATATACGTTCCCAGAGTATTCAATTTTTCTGCTAAAGAAACATTTTTTTCTCAGATTTAATATTCCTAGCCTCACAGTATTTTTCAGTGTTGTTATGAGATCTAAAATGAGTGTTTGCTCCTTCTACATAGTAATGCATATCTGTCCATGTTCCATCTGGCCTCATAATGGCTTTTCATTGCCAGTTTAAATCTGAAATCTCTTTTGGTATGAATTTGTTCTAATGATTCTATTCATTCTTTAGGAGTTTCTTGTTCTTTAGCCAACTCTAATAACATTTCTGATTCTTTAAACTGAGTTTTAAGTTTCTGACCCAGGATGCTTTCTGCTGCATTTATTCTTTCATCAAACTTCACATTATGTATCTATTAATCTTCGTTCTTTTGGTAGCCATATTCTACACTCCTTAATATCCTTGCTGTATCCTACCATGATATTAAATTAAGTTGAATAGTAGGATGGTAGTTTGATATAATACAAAATGAAAATTTAAGTTTGCAAAAGTGAAAATTGAAAATGGTGGAAAGTGTAAATTCAGTGATAAAATTAGTAAATTAAACTTTATGGAAAAATGTGAAAAATTAAAAAGGGAACTAAATTTTGAACTTTTTAGAATGAATTTTTGAAATTACTTAAAGTAAATTAAACATACATGTAAGTAAAGTATTTAATTGCGTATAGAAATGGAATTTAATTAGTTTAAAACTAAATGTAATTTGTATGAATTGTAGAGTAGAAAATGTTCTGGGGAAGTAACAGTAAAAAATATTCACTTATTTGGTGTGTAATATGGCTGGAATAGAAATGGCTGTTTGATAGTATTACGGTGATAGAGAGACCATTTACATTGATACACTAGTGTTATACATCCAGCAAATACCTCCAAATTTGTTTTAAGTATTTTATATCATAAGTAACAATAAAAATAAAATGATGTAGCGTGTAATTTATAAAGATTGTTAATATCAGTGCAAATATTTTTAATTCTCAGAAACTGATTAATAATGCTGTTAGTAATTATTTTGTTAGAAATATTTAAATTAAGTGCGAAAGTTAAATGGTATGGAATTTTAAAAGTCTAATATTGCCATTTAATTCATTTACAGCTAAATATTTTAAGGTCAAGGTAATCAATTACATTGTTACTGGTTTTGGTTATATTAAATTAAAAAAAAAAATTAGAATAAATATTAGCACTTTCAATTAACCTAGAGTAACTGAAAGTGATTAGGTTGTCGTTATCAATCTCATCTGCATGTCATTGGCAGACATAGCCTTGAGCACCATATATGTGCCAGCCCAACTTTAGCTCAGTTCTACCCAGGGTCTCCAACCCCTCTTCCTCTGCCACAAACCTCTGAAAAAAACTTTTGGCTTGCTGCATATTTAGGGTATCTCCATCCTGCACAGACACTATTCATTTACAAATATCCATGCCTTCTCCTGGATTCAAACCTGGGCCCTATGATACAGCAGTCTGAGACACTAACCAATAATTCCAGTCGGGTGGCAAAAAGTGATAAAGTCTATATATTGCTGTTGATAATTGATCAGTCTTTATACATTTTGATTCTTTAATTTCGCATCCTGCTGCACAACTTTAATGAATTATAATCTTAATTTTGAAATTTCTGAACTTGTTTATATATGTGTATACATGCACTGGTTAAGAAAATTAAAAGATAATGATAGAAGTAAAATGTAATTGATACTTAAAATTTATTAATAGAAATTTGTACAAAATGTTAATTAACATAAATTGCATTTGGCAGTTGATAAGTCGCAAAATATTAAAATTGAAACCAAATTGTGTTGCTAGAATGACTGCGTATATTTCCAGATACTCCAAAATCAATGGTATAACAAGCCTACTGCTAAAGATCATATCAGTGTTACTAAAAAAATTCATGATCCTACTCTCCTGATGCCTTCAGACATCATGGAAGTGAATTACGTGTTTGACAGGCCATTTAAGGTAGTCTTTCTTACTAGGGATGAATGGAATGACAACATTTTCAATTTAAATACCGATGATCTGATCTGGTTCACAGATGGATCAAAGAAAGGCATTCATTCAGGAATGGGAGTACATGGTATATCACCCAGAATTAATCTCTAGAGGTCTTGGTGGGTATGCCACTGTCTTCCAGGCAGAAGTTCATGCTACTACTAACTGTTTACAAATAAATATAAGAAAAGGCTACCACAGTAAGAGGATTTTCATTTTAGTGACAGTCAAGCAGCCCTAATGGCTTTATACTTATTTCAAATTAAATCAAAGATTGTTTTGAAATGGAGAAACCTTCTTAGAGAACTGGCAAGCAGAAACAAGGTAATCCCAATCTGAGTACCAGAGTATAAGGGAATTGAAGGTAATGAAAAGGCAGATGAACTTGCAAAACAGGGATCATCTTTTAATCCAATCGGTGTGGAATCCTTTTGTGGTATCAGTATGAAGACTGCAAAAAGTGTACTCCTTAAATGGAAGGAGAACAGGAAGAATAAAGTTTGGTTTGATTCTTCTGGACAAAAAACATACTAAAAGTGTGATTATCAGACCTTCTGCTAAGGTTGTTGCTAAGATTGTCTGTGAAATTCTTAGGTGCCCGCAATTGAAGATACAAATAATTGTGAGCCTAATCACAGGGCACTACTATTTCAGAAAACACCTTCATATAATGGGGACTTTTTCAACAAGACCCTATATGCAGGAAGAATGAGGAAACAGCACACTATATTATATATGAGCCCTAGATGCCCTTGCCCTCACTTGCTGGACTACTTTAGGTATGGCCTATTCTCAATACTAAATAAAGAGTACACATGAGTTCTATTAAAGAGCTGTCAGAAACAAAGTGGGCGACTCAAACAAATGGAGCTAGGAAGCATTGGGTTCGGTCTGTTTTGCACAAAATGCTATTTAGCAGAGGTGCCTGATACCTGAGAAACTCAATCTGAAGAATACGGATTAGCATCTTGCTGTACACCTTACTGTAGAGGGTTTTACCTTTTTCCAGATACTCATTGTGAATAATTCTACGGCAATCGCCCCCAGATACAAAGCATGATCTTTTTGTTTGTAAAATTGTGCTTTGCGACGCTGCTTATGAGCTCACCAATCACAGACCAACTCCGTTTTCAACCTGTGTTGTTGAAGTAAATCTGCTTTTCGTCACAAGTGATGATCCTGCCCAGAATTTTGTTCTTGCGTTGATATTCAAGCAGATTAGTGCAGGCCCAAACACATGTGTCCTTATCTTCTTGAGTCAGCTCATGCAGCACCCAGCGATTGAACTTGTACGTCAGGTTTATGTGATGCTTAACCCAGGTTTAAACGCACTGGGTATGTCACATCCACCCCTCCATTTTTTCGCTGTTTCTCTCCAACTTTTTTCAAAAATGGATAATTTTTTTTGTAGCATCCCCCACGGTCATAACCTTCGAAGGGAAGAGTTCTAAAAATAGCTATCTTGTAATCACCACTCCAGGGTATGTCACATCCAGCGTGAGCATTACTGTTACAATTCTGAGTACTGGTAGATGCATTGAAATCATACTCTTGTTATGGCGCGTTTTCGAAGTTAGATGATGCGATGATGAAGAAATGCGACATTTAAGAAATTTACTTGATACTGTTTCTTCGGTTGAAGGAAGTTTTGAGGAAGGTAATGAGTTTTCTGATAATGAAGAGACGAATGATGAAGCAGTTTACTTCGCATCTTTGCCTGATATAGAATCTGATTTAGAGGGCTATATTTCTGATTCAAATGAAAGTGACTGTTTTATGGGAAAGGATAATATAACAAAATGAAGTAAAATGAAATTTTACTTTAGTCCATGGAAATGTTAGAATTTCTGCTAAAAATATAATTTGTGAATGCCGTGGATGATATGGTTGCAACTTATTCAATGGCTGAAAAAACAAGTCGTTGGCCTATGGCTATTTTTTATTTCATATTGAATGTTGCTGCAATAAACGCATGCATAATTTTGTTTTCAACAAAGAAACCACCTACTGGGTATCGAGCCCGATGCTCATTTCTAAAAATACTGCCATTTCAACTGATAGAAGATAAGAAGTCAACAAGCAATGCTCCTACAAAGCCTATAAGTAAAACTGGGGAACAATGCGGCCAATACCTCCTGCTAAGAAGGTAAAGATGGCATATAAAAGATGTGCTGAATGTGGGGCCAAAAAAGACAGAAAAGCTAAGTTTGTCTGTGAAAAATGTGAAAAACATGTATACATGGAACATATAGCATGCATTTGCGGAAAATGAGCAAATTAAAGGTAAAATTTTTAATATGTGTTAAAAACTATGTTTTCTCTTACATGTTTTTGTTCTTTTATATTTTGTGCAGATTTAATGGTAAAAGAGATAAAGAAACTGCCCAGCGTGAGCAATCTCATTCGTTTTTCTTGCGCGACTTAACACAATTAATGAACATAGTACTAAAATCTAACTCCTTAACAAGCTCTCAAGTGGTTACATACTGATGTTCTTCTTCAAGTTCTCGCAGGCCGGCCTCATCAACATCAGTGAGCTGGCCTGAGTGAGCTGAATACATGATTTGGTGACATTCTGTAGCTGACTTTTGGCAACAGAACTGGAAGTAAAAGATGGTTCTAATCTGATAGTGTGATAGTTCCATTTCAGACACCTTGTGCTTAATGATAACGGTATTTTTTACAAATTTCACAACACCGTGTTTTAAAGCAAGCTTCTTTTTTTCAAAAGCCAAAAATAGTTTGACAAAATATGATTAAACATGCCAACGCGAACTGTTTGTGCAAACAATATTTGAAGTGGCGAGAAACTTTCTTTAAAACTCGATATTTACTGCAAGTATGACTGTTTGAAAAGCAAGTATGACTGGTTGGAAATGAATTTAATATTTTTAATGTTAAATGTGTGCTTGATCTTATTATTTATTGATGCATTTCTCCAAAATTTTCTCAATGAAATCGTAATGATTGATTTTCTGTTGTAGGTGTTTTGTAGGTATGATGAATTATTTTGTACTGTATAGGACTAATATTGTAAATGTATAGAGTTATGGACCACGAAGCAGAGAGAAGAGAAACTGAAATTGCAGGCTGATTTTATTCTCATCTTCCATTTGTAAATAGCCCATGAAAGATCATTATTATGTATTAAAATTGAAAGCTTTTATGTAGAGTATAAGAAATTAAATTTTATGATTATTTTATGTCCACTGCGAAAAAAAAAGGGAGGACAGTTCTATATCTCCCGTTCTACTAGGCCGATGACAGAATTCAGATTGCGTTTTCCATGTCTTGAGAGTGCGACTTAATTAAAGTGTGACGTCACTGAGCGCAGTGAACTGGAAATTGATCTGTCAGCACTATACTTATCTTCAAGGCAGATGTTTTTATTTTATTCGGCTAATAATTCCTTACTTAATGTAGTATTTCATCTCGATGTACTCCCTCTTTGATATGATTTAAATCAAATTCCTCGTCATTATAAATATCACGAACACACATCAAATAGTTTTCTGGTTGCAATTTTCTAATTTCAACTATGCGTAATGTATGCTTTACGCATGCGCGCGTTGAAAGAAATGTTTAATAAAGTAAACAAACAAATATTAAGCTCTCTCCTTTTTTTTTTTTTGATAAATTTTGATACCCTTTAGATCATAATTGCTCTTTATTTCATAAATTACGGTTTCATATTTTAAATTTTATAATTCCTGCATGCCATCTTACCAGATTTAAATTGATGATCTATAATTCGGAAAAACCGATAATCCGGAATTGTCGAAGTCCTGACGAATCCGGATTAAAAACTTTTGACTGTATATGGCAACCTATTTTCCCTTCCATTCTGCAGGAATGGGAAAAAAAGTCATATTGTTCCTACCTTTTTACATTATGGATGAGCGTTGATAAAAGTCACATTGTTTCTACTTCCTAATAATTTTGACAAAGTGCATAAACCACATTTTTGTTATTATTGCTTTCAACAAACATGCCATTAAAAATACAAATTTTAAATCGTAAAAAATGGGTGAATTTTATTTGGAATGAACCTAAATTTCGAACTGTGCAGGAAGGAATCAAATAAGCTTCATAAAAAAAGAGATATCAATAAATACATATCAAATTGAATTAACATTGATCAGCTAAAATTTTGAGAGCTAATTTTTTTAAAACTACTCGTGTGATTTTTACAAAACTTGGCTTGGTATAATTTGAATCGTAGAATCAAAATATGGAAAAAAATGGCATGTCATTTCAGAAAATGTACGATTTTGTGTCAAAATACCTATATTTGAACAATGCTATGTATAAATCTAATACATATCTAAGTCGCGCTTTCGAGACATGAAAAACGCAATTTGAATTTCGTCAATCGGCCCAGTAGAATGGGAGATATAGAACTGTCCTCCCCCCCTTCGCACAGTGTACACTAGTGATTTGCTTGAACACTTTTAATATATGTCTGCATGTCTGAATATGTTATGAAATTATTGTGTTTGCAAACCTAGAGAGTTTGTAGTTCCAATAAACTTATGTAAAACAAACTTATGAAAAGTGTAGAGTATTATATGAAAATTTTGTAGTTAAGCAATGTTAAAAAGTGAAGAATATAATTTTTGTTTTAAGTGCCAAGAAATGCATAATTTTAAGAGATTTTTTATGTGTATGTAGTTGTTGTAAGTAGACATTCTAAATATCGAGGATTAAATATCATGATTGACACTTGGCATGATTATAATAAATGTTTTTTCCTAACTAGAATTTCTTTGAGTGAATTTGTGTTAGTTCAAGCTATGGTGATTAAATTCTTTAAATAATGCATCTTAACAAGACATTAGCCTGTTTAATTGCTGTACAAATTATATTTTTTATTCACATGCTATATTGCAAAGTAAATTACTTTTCTGAGTATTGAAAATCATTTATTTCTGAAAAATAAATCTCATACAACATAATACATTTATATAATGGTTACAGCAGAGTGTTTTTACATTTTTCTTTCACATTTTTACATTATAGAATATATTTTCTAAATATGTAAACTATAATACATTTTTATGAATTCTTGAAGTAAATTTTCTTATGAATGTATCAATAGTAGTTATTTTTAAATAAATAATGTGGATATCCTGAACTTTTTTCTTACCAGGGCACATCATATAAAATAATTAGAATCATATTTTTATAAAATAGTTAGAATAAAGTTTTAGGAATTAGAATTTTGGGATCCATATGCAAGTTAAAACTGCAGTATTGCAATTATATTTTCAGAACTTAATAACTATTAACATTTTAAGCATAATAATTTTTTACAGACAATAATCATAATAGTTTTTCACAAAATGGATCAACAAAAATTGTTTTTAATTATTGAACACCCTTATAAAAAGAATGGTTATACAAATTTTAGCAGTAACAGAGTTGGTTAAAATAGAATGAAATAAAGTAATTACTGTGTAAGATTATCCCTGATATTATTTTGTGTTCTGAGCGAAGGGTTTCATTTTACTTAGTATTCAGTTGTTAAAAAAATAAATACAGTGAACCTTGTTATGGCAACAACATGCCTAAGAAACCACCTCTGAAAATAATCAGTATTTTTGAGAACATAAGTAACTATTTCTGAGTAACACATCTTTCTAAAATAATCACCTTTCACAAAAGACCCTGCTCGTCTGGAATCAGATGTGACCAGTTTAGATATAAATCATTATATTTGTAGTAATTATTTCTTATATTTTTAATTGCTTTTGACAGTTGTTTTAATTTATGATGTGGATTTTATTGCTGTGTTAGTTTTCATACAATAGGTCAATTTAATGTAAAGTGTTAATCTGACAAAAGGAGTCATTGATTCGGTGTTTTCGTAATTTTCTCCATGTTATGATATGGATATGTCTTTATGCATAGGAAGTCCTCCAAGAAGGCATTAATTCTATTAGGCAGGTAGCTTTTTCATGCTTTGCTGCATTTAACAGCTAGCAAACTGAAATGCCTGATAAGTATATGTTTATTTTGAAAATTTGTTATTGATAGTAGACTGCTAAATTTTCATTTCCAGCTTTGTTATCCAGGTTATGAACAATTTTTTGTCAGAGTTTAATTTATTGCTAATTAAAATTGTTATTAAAAATATAATTTAATATACTGTTAACTTTAGAAGAAGGTATGCCATTTAAGAAATTTTTTTCAGCCCTGTTCTCTTTTCCATTTTAGGGAATTTATATGTGAAAATGTGCCATTTTGCTCTTAATTTATTTAGATTATTTTTGAAGCAAAATAAATGTTATTTTATAGTTATTCTTACTGCTAATCTTATAAAAATGTAATTGGTTTAGAATGCTAGTGAAGCAAGAAAGTTAAAGATAAGCGATGAATAGTAGCAAATGCCAAATATTAGTAGTTACAATATAAATTATTTTAACTTGAAAAATGAAGTGCTATTGCTTTTTATAATTATTTTATTCATTAAGAGAATTTTTAGACTTGAAGACAGTAACTATATGATTAAAGCTTTTAATGATTAAATGATTAAAGCTAAATGATTAAAGCAAATGATTAAAGCTTTTATAGTTATCACAACCCTAAAATTTGGTTTGCAAACAAAAATTAAGAATTTCTGTGTCCATAAAGAGTACTGTGTTAGTGTACTGTTTGCAGTACAGTACTGTGTATATGAATTCTCTTCATAGTGCACTACTGTCCGTGTAATACAGTACAAAGTCTGTAATCCGGACGTCCATTATCCGGAATGATCTATAATCCGGACCTCAAAGCGACAAACCTTTTTTTCTGTATGCTTTACGCATGCGCGTTTAATGCTATGCATGCGCAGTTTAATGTTTACGCATGCGCGTTTAGCACAAAAAAGAAGCAACTTAAACAACTTACATTGAAAGAAATGTTTAATAAAGTAAACAAATAAATATTAAGCATTTTTTTTGTAAATTTTGATACCCTTTAGATCATAATTGCTCTTCATTTTATAAATTACTGTTTCATATTTTTAATTGTATAATTTCTGCATGCCATCTTACCAGATTTAAATTGATGATCTATAATCCGAAAAACCTTAATGCGGAATCGCCGAAGTCCCGACGAATCCGGATTATGGACTTGTACTGTATACTGAATGTGAAAGAATCAGTACATTTTTAAAGGTATTGAGTTTTATAAGGGTCTTTTCAATTGCTTTTGAATAATTAAATATATTTTTAAAGTTTCAACATTATAATACTTTTATTTTGTGTATATAATTCACACAAATATTGCACATATGTGTTTCAAAAAGTCCTATTTTATTATTTTGGATTGAACTGTATAATGCTTAGTGACACATTTCTAACGTTACTATTAAAGTGATGAATTAAAACTATGTTTACATAACTCTGGAATGTAGCTGAAGTTTTTTAATATTTTAAATGTTTTCCTTATCACCCCCTAAAGAAAAATAGTTGTGGTATTTTAAGATGGAATTTTGCATTCATACATGAGTTTAAGGCAACTAATATTATTATTTTCCTCAAGGAAGTTTCTAATTACTGTTTATATTTGGCATTAAACACCAACACCAACTTGGTGCTTTTTCACTGGTTTTCTTACATCTTGCAGACGTTTTTTACCCTTTGAAAAATCTCTGTTTCTCTCTCTCTTTTTTTATTTTCATTACATGAAAAATGCATAATTTGTTTCTCTGTGCGTTAGAGACATTGTATACTGAAGCACCTGTGGTACAAAATTCTGATATCTTGAAGAAGCTATTAATCAGTAGTATTTATAAAAATAACAATTTTAGAATGTGTAATGAAAATAGGCGTCTACTGATCATTCTGTCAGCCTTTTCTTACTACTCATCATTAATCACCACTGTTCATCTGGGTTTTTCATTCCAGCAAAGAATCATTTTTGTTTGAATATTAAGTAGTTGAGAAAATATTATGAAACCTGAACATCAGCTGCATTAGTATCAGCTGCAACCTTTTTGTTAAAAATGTTTTAACTCTAAGGTACTGCTTTAGTTAAATGTTTTTGAGATACATTTGTTTTATAATTCATATTGTTGTACTGTTTATTCTTAATGTTCAGGTTTGTGATTCCTTAAGTATAATATTTTTTTAATTACTTTGTTTGTCTGTAATATTTAGGTAAATTTATTATAAATGAAATGGTTGCTGATTTTAGTCGATTTTTGATAAAGAAAGTGCTACTGATGTAAATTTTTACTGAATTTTTTCTGTCATTAAAAAAGAAGGAAAGGGAGAAGAAAAGAATGGAAAAGTAACATTTACTATTCATGTGGAAAAATCTGATATCCTTTTAAGACCCAGATTAAAAAATGCTGTGAAATGCATACCAGAATCAGTTTTAAGGCTTTACATTTATATTATATTTGTTTGCAGCATATAAAAATTGGGATGGAAGTATAAACATGCATCTAATTAGATTACATTTTATGAATAATAATAACGTTTAATTTAGATTAATTTATCACTAGGATCCTTGCACGAAAACCATATTGAACTTCATTTCATGAAGAGGTTCTTAAATGATTGACCTATGAGTGCATTTAAAAGAGAAATCCTTGTTAAATACTTCTCTGATATTGTTATTCGTCATAGGTTATTTTGGTCTCTAGAAGTTCCCATGAATTGTAGCCAGTGCTTTCATCAGATGCACTGGCTCGGCATTCCTCCAAGAATGACTGTTGAATACGATACATTCCAGAGTCAGCTTGATATAAAAGCGTCTCTAAAATGCGTTCATTACTGATTGTCTTTGTAGGTAAAATCACCTAGTAAAATTAAAAATTAAAATAGGTAAGAGCTTTTTTTTTTATTTACATATTTGAGCTATTTAAAAGTAATGCTGCAGTATCAAAAAAACATTTTACATTTAACTTATACACTGAAACCTGCTTTTGTGCGATGAATAAGTGCTTAAAAAAATTGCACAAAACTTCACGAGTAGCTATAAAAAATAGTTTTCAGTTTTCGCAACACAATTAAAAATTACTTTTTTTATGCAGTGAATAGGAACTGCATAAAAAAAGTCTTACGTCTGTAGTGTGTAGTTGGTGAAAAAGTCTTACGTAGAAAACAACTCAAAACTGTACGAAATAACTAGGAATTGCTTTTTTAAGCAAAATCAAAACATTAAGAAATATTTTATCTTTTCAAAGCGTATAATCATTATCCTTCATAGTCTGACAATATGTGAACTTTCTAGTGGTAAACTGGTTCAAAATTGTTTTCGTCACTTGAAGATACTACCTTGCACTCATTTAGAGTTGATTTTTTTTTTTTTTTTTTCAGTTACCATGTAGTTGGTGATCGGTTTTTGCGATGACTGTTGTTTTACTAGACGCGTGTATATGTCTCAGTAACCAGATATACAAGATGAAGCTCCTTTATTTATTTATTTTATTTTTTTATAAATAACTTTGTCAAATATGTTCCAATTTGTTTGAAGTTTTCATATACCGCACAAAAATGGGTTTGAGTGTACTTAATTTTAGATTTGAGCTATGAAGCATGGTTAGAATAAAAGCAGGAAACAATTTCATTTTCTTAATAACATAAAACTCATAATTTTCTTCTGCAATAAGTATTCTGTACACACACACAAATGCAAGTTAAATATGTTACTATATATAGTGACATAACTACCCAAGATCAATTTACAACATTTTTTTTTTATGAAAATTATTTAAACATTAAGTAATTTAAATATTTTTTATCTGTTTCAACATAGAAATCCGAGCATCTGTAAGAACAGGAAAAGCATCTTATGCAATGAAGTGCTTATTCTAGGATAAGGAAGACTTCTAAATTTTTTCTAAGGGATCAACAATGAAAATTGATTTATAAGTAGCAACTAAATAATGAGACCAGGTAATTAACAACTTATGGGAGTTACATTTTCAAAAATTTTAATTGCAGTGTAAGTTCTAATGTGTTTTTGTAATGTTGAGTACACCGCTCAAAAGAAAGTTGTAATTTGTGGCTCTCTTGTTGATCTCTTGCCTTTCATCCTTTCCTGAAAGTTTCTTAATTAGCAGAAAACGATGTCAGACAAAAGCAGCTGCATTTCATCATGTATGCATATTATATTTACTGAGAACTTCAAATTGAAGCATGATGTTAGCTAAAATTTGGACTTCTGAACGCAAAATATGGAAAATGTAAAGTTACATGAGATTTGTTACCTTTTCTTGAATATATATATTTTTTAAATTTAAGAACTTTTATCTATTTTTTATGAAGAGTATTAAATATTTTTGTTAGTCAAAATGATTTTAAAACTGTAAACATATTTTGCTGGTAATATTTTTTAATTTAAATTTTATAAAAATATTTTACAATTAAAATATCTTTCTTCTACAATTTTCAGTGTTTTAATGCCGATATTTGTTGTTGTTATGGCTTTAAGAATTGGTTTTGCAATCAATGATTTAGTTTGTCAGAAAAATTTGTTGGGAAGTTTGCATTTCTCCTTTGTGGCTGTGATGAGCAAAAAAAGGTATATAATCCGGCGGTAGGAATCGACAACTGATGCAAGGTGAAGACCGTCTGTCCTCCCAGTGTGCCTTATAGATGTGGCTAACAGCCGTGAATCATTCCAGAGTGGTGTGGCAATTTCAAGCCATGGAAAACTGCAGTGGAATATAGTAGTGGAAGACTAGATTGTAACAAGAATCTAACACAGTATCTCTGATAATTTACTAAGCCGTCAACATCAAGTACCTGCCTGACCAAATAAACTGTCAAGTAGACCAAACTGATGTACTAGTCAAATACATTCAGCAGTTATTCATCATAAGGTTTTACTAACATGTCATAGTCTGACATGATGTGTTCAATTGTTTTGTTAAATTCAAGGAAAGTTCCCATTAAATCTTATGTTTCAACTTAAGGCAAATGCACTCCTTTGGTAGGGAACCACATTTTTGTACTACTGCGTATCACCCTCAAAAAACTTCAAAAATTCAAAGCAACAATAATAAAAAGAATATTTGTACGTAAAAACTTTAAGAAAGTTATGATTTCAATTACATTTTCATTTCCAGTATTTTTTCTTTTCAATATTTTGTGAAACCCATCCTTGTTTCTGTTAAGTATATAATGATAAATCTGAAGTAAAAGTATGAAATGATATAGTCTATGTCTATATTAGTTTTAGGACTTCAACTAAAAGGATTTATAAAAAAGGTTGCAAACTGAGAAAACACCATTTAAAGAATATGCTTATTAAAATGGTCATTAAAGCATTTCAAATGTTTAAATATTTTTGTTACTCACTTTCAATATATATATGTATCTAGTGTTAAACTTATTAATATTCAGTTAGTGAGTATAGACGAAAATTGTAAACTTTTATTTGAAAATTGGTCTTGACTGGAAATATTGTAACAAAAATCATTAAATGTAAATAGAATTTTACTTTACCAATTATTATTTTGCAAAACATACTCAAAACAATTTTACTATATAGATTAATTATAACATTTTTTTCTAAAACATTTATAATCAATATTAATAACATTAATGTGTTGTTTAATTCATTTTTTTTCAAATAGTATAAGTATAATTTGAAATTTGAACAGACCTAGAAACGTTTTCTTTAAAACTATCCAGCAACATACGGGATTTCTTCTTGTTTTTAGCCATTTGTTCTTGTATGTAAATTACCTTTTTAAAATTAATTTAGATTTATTTTAATTAATTAACCACTTCAGTAGCATAATTGTCTTTATCCAGTCATGAAGTTTTTCCCTCTTCTTGGTATATGTTAATTTATAATTTAAAATATTTTGCTTTTTTACAATGCTTAATTATGTAAATATCATCTTAAGTGGAAGTTTATGAAAGCAGAGAAGTAATTATACAAATTTTGCTACTAGATGCAGTTTCAGTACAGTTTTTTAGAGAAGACCTCAAGATAAGATTTGATTTCAACAAAATTATCCCGATAATGCATAGATAATATTTATGCATTATCTTTTATAATTTATAGATATATTTTATAGATTATATTTATAGATTATGTTTATTTTTATAGATTTATTTTATAATTTATAGATACTATTACTGAGTGGAGTAAAAAAAGGGGGGGGAAGAAAAGGTAACTTGTTAGGGGAAATTTTTTTTTTTTTTTTCGAATTTCAGTATTTTAAATCAGCAGATTACACATAAACAATTTGCTGATATTTGCATTCGCATCTAATTATGTTCCTTTTCTTCTACAATTATTTATAATAAATAACCTTTTGATGGTAGCCGCTCAGACGGTACAGGGGTTAGGGGAGCCGACTACGCTACGGAAGGGCCCGGGCTCGAATCTTGGAGAAGGCATTTCGTAGGATCGGCGGCCGCTTATTAGATACGTCCGTAATAAAATTACCACATCTGGCCATTTTTTTAATAATGGCCTGGCGCTTTATTTAATAGGCTTTAGCCTTTCGCCACTAGAAAGGCCGGAAGTGATGGTCATTTCAGTACGGAAGCACCTAATAAGTGGCCACCGTTGCCTCCGATGAAGGGACGGGCATTTACAATCATGCCATCTCCGGGATTCGAACCCTATCGCTACGGCAGTCAGGGTCACTAACCACTAGAATTAGTTTTCTTTCTTTTTTTGTTTGTTTGTTTTTAGCTGGGAGCCAAGTTATTATTTACACAACATTTGCTTCTGTGGTAGTAATAGTAAAATAGTGTACATATTACTATGAACTTTCCAACTGCAATTTCTTGATTGCTTTATGGATAACTGCGACACAGTGTGCAAATTGCTATGTACACACATGAATGACACAAGAATTTCAGCTACTACATTGCGCAGACGCCTGCATAATACAGGCCTGTATGTTAAACGACCAGTTGTTTGTTTCTCCTTGACCCGAGGACACGGAGCTGCCCGTTTATGTTAGGCAAGAGAATATGTCTCGTGGACCACTCAACAATGGGCTTCTTTTTTCTTCACAGATGAGTCCAGGTTCATATTACAGATTCATGTCGTCAGCTTATCTGGAGGGAACAACGCACCAGATACAACCAATCCCAGATTGTGAAATGATACAGTTACGGAGGTGGTGGAATAATGGTTTGATCTGGGATCTCTCTCGGCGGTCACCTTGACCTGCATGTGTTCCATGAAGGAGCTTTGATCGGTGTGAGATATCGAGACGAGACCCTTGATCAATGTATCCGCCCATATGCCGCTGCTATTGGTCCTGGATTTCTTCTGATGAACAGCAATGCGCAACTACATCAAGGCCGGGTTGATGAAGAATATCTTCAGGGTCACGGTATGGAGCGGGTGGAATGGCCTGCTTAATCCACCGAACTGTATCCAATAGATCATCTTTGGGACTACCTTGGGAGACAGGTTGCTGCTTTAAATTCTTCTCCAAGGTGTTAGATGAGCTTAAACAAGGATTACTACGTGTCTGGTCGTTGCTTCCCATTCCACTGACCGACAACTTAATTGCCAGCATGGAACGTCGCTGCCGCGAATATATTGCAGTTAAGGGTAAACACATTCCTTATTAGAACCCACTTTTGTAATGTTACCATTACATTTTCCCTCGAAAAACTGTGATATGCTGTTTTTCCAAGACTGAATTTTTCTGCCAAGAGTGCAATTATTTGTTGTAATTTATGTTTGTGTTGATCTAAAGAAGCATTCTACATTACATTGATTAATGAACTGTTTAGTGAACATGTCCGCTAAATTTCTTGTTTCTATGTTGCTTCATTCTCAAATTAGACACCCAAAATATGTTGCCCCTTAACT